TTAAATGTGTGTGCCTCTGTGAAGTGTGACGTGTGACGTAGGTCTGCTGACGAAAAAACAGCTGATATCACTCAACTGGTTCACGTGAGTTGTACTGCTGCCACCTGTCTGTACAAACTGTTCAGCAGCAGCAGATGTCCAGATAAAGCAGAATTCTCCTCCCTGCTCTGTGCAGCGGCTGCAGAGTGGCTCGGGCGCATTAATGGAATGTTGTTTCTCACAGTTAAAAAATGGACAAATGTAGAATAAATCTCATCTTTCCGGTTCGTTGGGACCAGGGAGTGACGAGAGAGGAACCCTGCGTTTTCCTCTCCTTCTGAGACTCTGGAAATTACATTTTAATCAGAATCCAAAAAAGTTCAATCTGGTCCTCTGGACATAAAAAAAAAAAAAAAAAAAAAAAAAAAAAAAAAAAAAAAAAAAAAATAGAAACGTTTCGTCATGCATGCATGCATCATCATGCATGAATCAGGATATTTTAATCAGAGCTTCCTGAGCTTCTGCTAGAGGGGACGAGATCTGTTCTAGAAATGACAGAAAACGTCACTAGAGTTCCTTTGCACCAGCGTTTGAGCTGTACTGCAGCGTGAATCCCCTGATGAAAACGGTTCGCCTATCCGTCTGGAGCGCGCGCTGATTGCCACTCATTTATAAAGTTATAAAGCGGGTACACGTTTATGCTGTGAACTCACATGCATGCGATGTGAGCCGGTGCATGCTGAAGGAGAAAGAAAAAACGTGCACCCCCGAGCATGCAGATCGTTGTGCGTTTGCTAGTGCTGCGGGACGCAGCTCATCTGTGCTGTGCTCACGTTGTGTGCCGCTGCTCCGTGTAAACGGTCGGGGAGCGGGCGCACGTATGAGCCGACGTGCACTGAAGAGTCGTGTGTGCGCGCCCTCATTCATGCGACGTCTTAAGCGAGGATTCCCTCGGGAGCGCGCGTTTGACACTGGTGTGGTCAGGAAGCAGCGCGCGGCATCGGTGGGGCGAGGTTACCACTGGGCTCGGTCTGCAGAACACGTTCATTCTTGGCTGCGAATCACGTGAGCTTTTGAGTGATTCCACGAGCTGCAGTATTAATTCAGAAAACATTCTTCGAGGATGAAGGAGCGGAGCCGCTGTGAGGCTTGTGAAACTGTTGACGCCGCGGGAGCGCGCGATTGACACCACTGCGGTGAAAACGCGTGTCGCTCCTGCAGAGAGCGAGATACGTTACTGGGCTCGTACCGCGGTCTCACGTTTACGTTGACGTGAACGGCGGGCGCTGAGAGCTGCATGCGCGCTTTCATAACGCAGCGCCTTATAGATGAAGGCTGCTCGTGCCACGGGAGCGTGTGTTGGCACCTCCAGCAGTGAATGAAACAACCTTAAAATGCTCATTCGTGATGAGTGTGTGTGATGGGCCGCTGTCAGATCATCTGTGCTGACAGCCTGGCTAAAAAAACACATCATAAAATGATGTTTATTTCCACATGGTGTCATCTAAACGCATCCAGCAAACCGACACCTGGTTATCTTCCCCTGAGCTCCGTGGTTTGTTGTCCTAGAAGGCCCCCTGTTGGCCGAGTCCGGGAAAAGTTGAACCTCCGGATGCCGGGGACGTCTGATGGGAGGGGCTGGCGTAGCAAAGCTGGGGATGCGTTGTACAGCCGTGGAGCATCTTGAAATGATCTCTCGCTGATGAAGGCCCTCCAACAAAAAGCTTCTGCAGCTCCCCTGAGAGGAAGGTGGAGTGGCGAGCCAGGAGAACCTCTGAGACCTCGTTCTCCGGCTACGATGCGGGCCGGCAGACAGCAAAAGAGGCGCACCGGTTGGGGATGACGTCAGCTGCCCTGCAGACGGAGCATACTGCAGGGGTCGACAGCGCCGTTGGCAAACAGCCGTGATGAGAGCGGAGCGAGCCGAAGGTCAGAGGGCCCACCGTCTCTTCCCGCCTCTGAACGTGTACACCAACAGTGTAACGTGTTGTTCGCTGCGGCCGTCTGGAACGCATGCTGGTGAGCTCAGTTGGAGGGCGGTGTCACTGTCTGGGTTACGCTAACCGGAGGCACGGGACGCTGGTCCAACTGGATATCTTGCTCCGATGAAGCCTCCATCAGGCTCGGCTCCAGGGGGCACTGAGGAACTTTCTGCTCGGTGAACCCCTGCTCTGGAGATGGGTGCGGACTGTGGAGACCCCCCCCCCCAATCTACCAGGAAAAAACGGCTGTGGCCTTGCCCGTAGGACGTCCTGTTGGGAAAACAAGGCCAGATGGATCAAGACGGTGAGCCGGAAATGGAACCTAGAAAAAACAACCTTCCCGCCGGATCATCCGAACTGGCGGGAAAAGGCGTGGGACGTAAAAAAGGGTCCCTTCATGTCAGCCGCCTCCTGGGTTACGCCGGGCAACCCCAGAGGGCGCCGTCGGCCAGGAGCGGTGTGATCGCCGATGCGAAACAAGGTGGGATGAGGTGAGCATTCGCTCAGCCCCCCTCCACCGACACTACACTTTCCAGGAGGGAATGAGCAGCAGGGGGCTGCAGCTGAGCGCCGTCTGTCCCGGAGGCACCATCCGATTCGCTCCGAGGGTCGGCGATAAGAGGAAAATTACAAGATGGCGTTGTCCACCGTGTAGCGACCTGTCACTGAGAAATATTCCTCGGCGCTTACCTTGAAACAAGACTGCTCGTCAGCTTGTCCTCGGGGAGGAGAGCTCACCGGACAACCAGAGGTCGACGTGCTGAGCCAAGCATTCTTAACAAAGGTTGGTCATCTACACAACTTTTCTTCTTCGTTCTTCTGACAGTTCTATTAGCTTGCTGAAGAAAAAATGGGAGCCGATTTCTCGCTCTTAACGTAATTTATACGGACCAGGTGGGGCCCACACAGCAGGTGGGCGTGGACTAAATTTTTCAGTGCAATGCTTCACAAATCGGGATAAACCTATCAGCGACAGCCTTAAAGGGCGAAGCCTATATGAAATAGAACGGGTGGTTTACGCCAATTCATAAACTGAACGGTGCGCATGTAAACACTTGATATGTTCGTTTTTATCTGATGGTGAAAACTGACCTGACTGCGCATGTGCAACTATGTCATTTCCGCCTGGGTAATGCGGGGAATGCATGTCGGGGAAGCAAAACTGGTCGGTGAGTGATATAACATTTCTACTCGAAATTTTGAAAGAGCTCAAAATGATCTGTATTATCTGTAGCTCAGTCAGGGAGTGCAGTAACCTCTCCACGTCATTAAAACCTGTCTCAGGTCCATTTTGGGTGCTCAGGTTTGTTTACGCTCATCCCAGAAGTAAACCAGAAGTAGAACTTCTTCTTCGGTGTATCCCGATGCATGCTCAATAATCCAGGTAGAAAAATCCAAAAAAATTACATCTGGTCCTCTGGACATTCAAAAAAACAATAACAAAACAAAAAAATTGTAGAAATGTTTCGTCTTTCATCCGAAAGACTTCTTCAGTCTGAGGTGGAGGCGAAGAAGTCTTTTGGATGAAAGACAAAACGTTTCTAGAATTTTTGTTTTGTTTTGTTTTTGTGTTTTTTGAATGTTCAGAGGACCAGATGTAATTTTTATTTTATTTTTCACAAACAGGACTCCAGCCAGCCATCAGGTGAAAAGGAGAAACTCAGACCCAGACCAGTGGTCATTCCGTATGTTGCGGGAGTATCAGAGAAACTGAGACGTTTATTTTCTAAACATAATGTCCCAGTGGCTTTTAAACCCCAAAATACATTAAGGCAAAGACTGGTTCATCCCAAAGATCCAGTCCCCCAGCACAAACAGAGTAATATTGTGTATGCTGTTCAGTGTCAGGAGGGCTGTGATCAGTCTTACATCAGGGAAACTAAACAGCCACTGACCAAAAGGATGGCCCAGTACAGAAGATCAACATCATCAGGCCAGGACTCGGCGGTCTACACTCATCTCCAGGCCAGCGGCCACTCTTTCAGGGATGAAGATGTTCACATTCTTGATAGAGAGGAAAGATGGTTTGAGAGAGGAGTAAAGGAGGCCATCTTTGTGAAAAGAAACCATCCATCATTAAACAGGGGTGGAGGCCTCCGTGTTCAACTGTCCACCTCTTACAATGCTGTTATTGCTAGTATCACTCAGCCCACTGTGAATAGCAAACAGCCATCAGTGTGCTAATGATCCATCGTTAGGCTGATGGTCCTCCTTGATCAAGTGAGCAGCTGGTTTTGGTTGTCAGCAGCAAACTGGTTGATCCACTACAAGAAGGTGCTATTTATAAGATTGAGGTGAATACAGCGCCTCAGACTGAAGAAGTCTTTCGGATGAAAGACGAAATGTTTCTACAATTTTTTTTTTTTTATGTCCAGAGGGCCAGATTTAACTTTTTTGTATTCTTCTTCGTTTTTTTTAAGGAGAGTTTACCACTCTGCATATGTCAGTGCTTCTGTCCAGAACAAAACCTGCTGCATGTAAATGCTTGACATGAACAGATTGTGCCCATGTAAACGATACATTTGAATTATTTAATCTGAAAACATTTCAATCCGGTCAAAAAAATTTGCGCATGTAAACATAGCAACTGTGGATTCTCTACACCTCTTCCAACTCTTTTTGCCATCACAAGTCACACATCTTGCTGTTAGCATGTATGTGTAAATCTGGGGTGTGTATCTGCATGTGCATATCTGGATGTATGGGTAGATGCATTAGTACCAAGTGGGACTTGAATCCACAAAGCTGTGACTGTTGCTATGCAACAATAACAGAGAACTTCTCATGCTTGATCTTCAGTGTGATTGACGCTTTGTGCAGTTTGAAATGTAGGATGAAACAACAAAATAAGATAGTTCATGAAATTTTAAAAAATGTATCAGAAACTCTTCAAAGTAGTTTAAAGTTGGACTCCTCTTATCTCAGCATCAGCATTGTGTTTTTAAATGCAGAAAGAAGATTTTCTAACTGTGATGGTGGAGCTCTAGGTTCTGCCTGCCATGCTTGGGTGTAATCAGTTCTGTTCAACTGAGCACTCACCATCAGTGTCTTCCAGAGCTTGTATCATGTCGGGGTCGAGCGCCGTGCTCACCAGCATCTCCACATAGCTCCTGAACATCTCCCACATGGCTCGGCTGTTTATTCCCCCCCGCATCAGTCCTACAATACAGACAGGCTACAGACAGGGTCTATACACAGTACACACTGGCTGAGGGGACAATCAGACACCAACTGACCTTCATCCTCACTTTGCAGGGAGGAGTCAGACTCTGAGGAAGAGGAGGGCACCTCATTCATCCACTTCCTTCTCTTCTTTGATGGAGGCTCCGGTACGTCTTTTGAAGTTTTGGTCCTGGACCGACACTCTGCCTTCTTCTCTGCTCTTCTGTTCTCTTCAAGTCTCATGAATTCAACTGTTTCATCTCTTCTCTCTCGTTCTGATAACTCCTTCATCTTCTTATCCTGATCTCTTCTCTCCTTTTCTTTCTGCTCTTTCTGTTCTCTCTGCCTCTCCCTCTGGTCCCTCTCCTGTTTTTCCTTTTCTCTTCTTTCCCTCTCTTGCTTCTCACTTTCCTGCTTCTTTGGTTCATTCTGCTCTTTTTCTCTCTCAATTTGCTGTCTTTCTTTCTCTTCTCTCTCCCTCACTTGCCATTCCTTCTCTAGGTTTTCCCGTTCTTGTTTCTCTCTCTGTTCCCAATTTCTTCTTTCCCTTTCTTTCCGCTCCTTTTCCTTTTGCTCCTTTTCTCTTCTCTCCCTCTCATTCCGCTCCTTTTCCTTTTGCTCCTTTTCCCTTTTCTCCCTTTCTTTCTGTGCCATTTCCTTTTGCTCCTTTTCTCTTCTCTCCCTCTCATTTCGCTCCTTTTCCTTTAGCTCCCTTTCCATTTTCTCCCTTTCTTCATGCTCTATTTCTTTTTGCTCAGCTTCTCTTCTCTCCTGCTCTTTCTGCTCCTTCTCTCTTTCATTTTCTTTTTCCTTTTCTCTGAACTCCCTTTCTTTTCGCTCTCTCTCCTCCTTTTCTTTTTCCATCTGCTCCCTCTTTTGCCTTTCTATTTGTTCTCTCTCCTCCTTCCTTTCTCGTTCTTTTTGTTCCTTTTCTAGTTTCTCCCTGTGTTCCCTCTCTCGTTGTTCTTTTTCTTTTGTTCTCTGCTCCTTCATCTCTCTTTCTTTCTGCCTCTCTTTGTCTCTGTCTTCTCTCTCCATCCAAGCTTGGGACTGGCTGTGAATGTTCAGCAGCTGTTTGGCCAGTGACTGTCGTCTGCCCATCGGTGAGGAGAAAAGAAAACAGAAACCGAGCATGTAAAGACCATGAACTTGTTTGTTTAACTAAGATGTCTATTACTTGGTCTCACCTCAGAGTCAGTCCAGCTCTGTGCCAAGGCTTTCGGGAGCACACTCTGACATAATCCTTTTTATTAACGTTCTCCAGGAACTTCACATATAAACGCTGGTATCGCATTTTGGCATCGCCAAAGTAACCAAGATACTGAAGGAAACGACAACGAGGAAAAGTTATAAACTTTCTAAAACGTTTCTTTTGGTTTTGTTTGTTTAAATATGCAGCACAACTTTTGATGGGAACCAAACACACATCTTTTTAATTCTGTCAAATATTTCTAAAATTAGAAATTTCTTCTTCTCATGCATAACAAGCTCCATCTATATTTTGAAACTTATTGTTCAATATGTTCTTATTATTATTCTTATTATATGTTGGGGGGAGTGGTGGCGCAGAGGCTAGAGAAGGTGGGTCTTTGATCGGAAGGTCACCGGTTCAACTCCCGGTACCAACAACATTAAAAAGTGGGTGGGATAGGTGAAACATCCACACCTGCCTCCACCCTCATTTGCCCCACTCTGGACCCTTCAACAAGGCCCTTAACCCCCACCATCTGCTCCCCCGGGCACCCTAGACAGCAGCTCTCTGCTCCACACAGAGCGCTGTGGTAGCTCAGTGGTCAGTGGTTGTGTCAGGAAGGGCATCCGGCATAAAAACAATTGTCATATCTTGGTGCGAGTTAGTTTGCTGTTGCGATCCCTGACGAAGGGAGCAGCCAAAATAATAATAAGAAGATCTTTCAATATGTTCTTAACTTTGGTCTTGGACTGTTGGTTTACTTGTGGTTCCTAGAGTTTATAAAACAATGGAGGCACAGCTTTCAGGTATTGATAACAAGCTACAGTTTAGTTTCAGGTAGCAAATGCCCACACTAACCTTAGGATTAGGCGTAAAATGTTTCTGTCTTGAAGCCTATTGATGCTAGGGGTTATGACGTATTTTCCGCCGTACATGTCGCACCACCCTATAAGTCGGATCAGTCCAAATATGTCTAAAAAATTGGAAAAATCCATAAATATGGTGCTTCGCCGTATATGTCACATCTATTATGTGTCACCACTGACGCGTCGCGTTTGTTATGCGTCACCACTCACAACCTGGAAATGTGGGCCTAACCTGGAAATATGCAAAGAAATATAGGCCGGTGTTGTGAAGAATTTAACAAGATTAACACTTTAAAACAAATATTTGTTTGCTCAACATTATAGTAAAGGTGTGTCTCAGTCTACCTTTTGCTTAATAAAAGAACTTTAACGGTCAAATCAGCTGTATTTAAAAAGGATTTGCTGCCTTGGTGCTCCAGGAGCGTGCAGAGGGAGGAAAAAAAGGAAGGAGGAACGCTGCTCTTTTCTTCAAAATTTAACAAGAAAAGCACCCAAAACAATTATTTGTTAGCTTGAAATTATAGTAAAGGTGTGTCTCAGTTGAACTTTTACTTAATAAATGCACTTTACTGGTCAAATTAGCTGCATTTCACTGGGGCGGTACAGCTGTTCTATTTCGTATAGGCTTCGCCCTTTAAGAGCTGTCGCTGGTGGGTTTTATCCCGTCATGCAACGCATCGCACTGAAAAGTTTAGTCCATGCCCACCTGTTGTGTGGGCCCAACATGGACCGTATAATTACGTTAAGAGCGGGTAATCGGCTCCCATTTTTCTTCAGCAAGCTAATAGCACTGTCAGAAGAACGAAGAAGAGAAGTTGTCCAGCTTGACCAGCACAACCTTTGTTAAGGCTGCGTGGGGTCCCGCCACACCAACCTCCCGCCGTCCTGGTGAGTTTCTCCTCCCCGAGGAGAAGCAGACGAGCAGCCTTGTTCAAGGTAAGCGCTGAGGAATATTTCTCAGTGGCAGGTCGCTACACGCTGGACGACGCCATCGACCCCTTTTTTCCTTTTATCGCCGACTCTCGGGGCGAATCGGATGGTTCCTCGGGGACAGGCAACGTCAGCAGCAGCCCCCGCTGCTCAATCCCTCCTGGAGAGCGTAGTGTCGAAACGAGGGGGGCTGAGCGGATGCTCAACCCCCCAGGCCTTTGTCGCATCGGCAACCACAACGCTCCCAGCCGTCGGTGCCCTCCTCTCGGAGTTGTCTGGCATAATCCAGGAGGCGGCTGACATGAAGGGACTTTTTTCCGTCCCTCTCCTTACCCCGCCCAGATTGGATGATCTAGCGGGAAGGTTTTTTGGCTCCACCCTGGCTCACCGTCCTGATCCCATTTGGCCTCGTTTCCCAGCAGTGACGTCCTGCTGGAACAAGGCTGCAGCCGGACCTGGTAGTCTGAGAGCGCCGGTTTCCACATCCGCGCCAATCACCAGAGTGGAGGGGTTTTACCAAGCAGAAATTCCCTCGGTGCCCCCCCCCCGGAGCCAAGCCTGGCGGAGGCTCTCGGAGCAAAGATGTCCAGGTTGGACCAGCGTCCTGCGCCTCCGGGGAGGCATGACCAGACGGTGACGTCGCTCTCCAACCGAGCTCACCAGTATGCATTCCAGGCGGCCGCAGCGAACAATAATAATAATAATAATGAATTTAATTTGTAACGCACTTTTCATTAACAAAAATCCCAAAGTGCAATACGTTGCGCCACTAACGTACAACATCTCAGAGGCCGGAGGGACAGACCTGCCTGAGGAGACCAGAGCTCCCTCTGTAGGGCGTCTGACGTGACTCTCAACCCGTGTGCCTCGTCTCCTGTCTGACATGCTCGAGAAATCAAAAAAGCCGGAGGAGGTGTCGGAGACTGTGCGCCATCTGATCAGCTGCACACCTCATCCCGCCCCCCGGCCCGCTGGAAGGACTGTCGTGGCCAAAGGCAGCAACAGAGATGTTCCACAGCTGCAGCAGCGTCCTCCCGCTTCACTCCGCCGCCAGCCCAGCCCGTCAGAGAACAGCCCTTTTCATCCCGGCAACCAGCGGTTCAGCGTTTCCCCAGAGATCGCCAATAGGCGGCACCCTGGGACAACAAACCGCAGGGCTTACGGGGGAGAAGATTCAGGAATGACTCCTTGTGGGGGATGTGTGTGTGCAAATGATGACAGGAGTTTTGAAATAAAACACAAACATCATTCAAAGATTAAAGTGTCTGATTCAGCCTGTCTGTCAGTTCAAATGACCTCACAGCAGCTTCTCCTCACACATCCTCCACACAAACGAGCCGGTGTCCTCAAAACAGGTTTTTCAAAATCAACGCAGCTCAAGGAACACACAGAACGCTCGCGTGACACAGCAGCCGAAAGTGAATGTTTTCAGCAGACCGAGTCCAATGGGAAACCTCGCTCTCAGCTTGAGGTGTGTGCTGCTTCCTCTCACCGCAGCAGTGTCAAACGCACGCTCCCGCGGCGCCGGCAGTTTTCACCCAAACGGCGCTGCGTTGATGAGGGCGCGCACATCTCTCCTCAGCACACACCGGCTCACATCAGCATGAATGTGAGCCCGCAGCCTGAGCGTGGTATAGAAGCACCGCGCACCCACAGCAGCCCTAAACCTACACGGTTCCGCATGCTCGGGGCGCGCGCACCTTCCCTCAGTGCACACCGGCTCACATCAGCATGAATGTGAGCCCACAGCCTGAACGAGGCACAGAAGCACTGTGCACCCACGGCAGCCCTAAATCTACACGGTCCCGCATGCTCGGGGCACGCGCACCTTCCCTCAGCGCACGTCAGCTCACATCGACACGGATGTGAGCCCACAGCCTGAGTACTGCACACATGACGGCGGTGATTGGCGTTCGTAAATAATGTGACGCAGCATAAATGCGTGCCCGATTCTCGAACGTTACACGGAGTGGCATCGAGCGTGCGCTCTAGACAGATGGATGAACTGTTTTTATCAGTGGAGGATTCACACTGCAATTACAGCTCAAACCCCCGTTTGGAGAAGTTTTAAAGAAGGTTTTGTCATCCTCAGTCCAAATCTCATCCCTACACACAAAAGTTAAGGAAATTTCTGGTAAAATATGTAATTTCCAGAGTTCCCGATGGAGAAGAAAACATAGGGTTTTACTCACGTTACTTCCTGGTCCCAAAACGGACCGGAGGGATATGAACCATTTTGGACTTGTCAATTTTTCAACACAGTTTCACATGTTGACAACCAGACAGCGGTTAGACAACGTTCAGTGAAACGATTGATGTATCTCCATCGATCTGGAAGACGCCTACTTCCACATCCCGATCAACCGTTACACAGAGCAGGGATGAGAATTTTATTTTACCTAGACGATTTGTTGCTGCTGACTGTTCCAGACAGGAAGCAGCAGCGCGGACCCAGGTACTGACGTCACACCCGTTAAATCTGCGCTTCGCCATAAATCGGGAGAAAAGCTAGATTCTCTCAGCCCAGACGATCGTTTATCTGGGAGTGAAGCTAACTCGATAACCATGAGGGCTCATTTATCACAGACGAGAATCGAAACTCTAAAAGACCAGCTCCGCCACGTAAGGCCTGGCAGAGTGGTAACAGCCATTTCCATCATGAAGCTGTTAGGAATGATGTCGTCAGCTCACACAGTGGTTCCACTGGGCTTACTCCACAAGGGACACCTCCAGAGATGCTTTGCTCGTCTGCGTGTGGATTCGGTAAAGCAGAAGAGATGGATGATCGCTGTACCTCCCTCCGTGAGAACAGACCTCCGACACTGGGGAAACCCCCTAGTTCTGTTGGAGGGAGTCCCTGTCAGCAGACCTATGTCACACGTGTCAGTCTTCACAGACGCGTCGCTGTCAGGTTGAGGGGGAACATGCCTATCCCGAGCTGTAGGGGCGCTGTGGCCACCTCACACAACAGCTCATATAAATGTTCTGGAAGGTCGCACGGTTTTGAATGTAATTCAACACTTTGCACCTGTACTGTGGAATCAACATGTGTTGATTCACACAGACAACAAGGCTACTGCTGCATTCATAAACCGGCAAGGGGGTGTGCGCTCAGCCCAAATGTTACACATTGCAAGACGGTTGCTGTAATGGGCAAACCAAAATCTGCTCTTCATCAGAGCAGTGTACATCCCCAGTGTTCTGAACAAAGGGGCAGATGTGATGTCCAGGGGCGGTCCACGTCACGGGGACTGGACTCCCCATCCAGAGCTGATGGCTCAGACGTGGCAGAAATTTGGCAAAGCGGCCGTGGACCTGTTTGTAACATGAGAG